CCCCCCCCCTCCGCCCCGCGGGGACCGGCTCTGGGACGGGGCTCCCTTCTCCCGGCGCCAGCGGTGTCGGTGCGGGAACGGCGCTGGGAAGGCGCCGGGTGCGGGGCTGGGGGGGGTCCCACGGGCCGGGGGGGCCCGGGCGGGCGGAGGAAGGTTCCGGCCGTGGGTGGGATGGGACCGGGGGCTGGCCGGGGCGGGGACGGGCCACCGCTGCTCGGGACGGGCTGGGCAACCGGCCCCCGGGAGCTGAGAGCCCCCTGTGCCGCGGGATGGCATGTGCCCTTGTGCCGTTGGTATTAATGTCATTATTGAGTTCTCTTGTCTTACCGTGCCATTAAACTGCTTTTAACTCAACCCACCAGCTTTTTTTCACCTCTTTCTCCCTCCTCTCCCTGTTGGGGGGAACATCTGGAAGGTCGATCCAGACTGATTTTAGAACCTTCTGAACACACGGCAGGTCAAACAAAACTTAATTAGAACTAAGGCTATATTGCTTTAAGAATAAGATTGTTTTGAACTGGCTGGACAGAAACAAACAAACAAATAAACAAACCCCAAACAAACAAACAAAACCCCCATTGTGCTTGTGTGTGAAGGTCAGGCTGGAAAACCGCCTGGAGGAGTGTGTGTAGAGAGATGTGGCTGAAAAGGGTCACATTCCGACAAAGATGGTGAGGGGTCTGGAGAATAAGTCTTATGAGGAGAGGCTGAGGGAACTGGGGTTATTCAGCCTGGAGAAGAGGAGGCTGAGGGGAGACCTTATTGCTCTACAACTACCTGAAAGGAGGGTGTAGAGAGATGGGGTCGGTCTCTTTTCTCAAGTCACAGGCGACAGGACAAGAAGAAATGGCCTCAAGTTACGCCAGGGGAGGTTCAGGCTGGATATTAGGAAAAAATTTTTCACTGAAAGGGTTATCAGACACTGGAATGGGCTGCCCAGGGAGGTGGTTGAGGCACCATCCCTGGAGGGGTTCAAAAGACGGGTTGATGTAGTGCTGGGAGGTATGGTTTAGTGATGATGCTCCTTGTTTGTTGTGCGGGTGTCTATTTTTGTCAGTTAGGTTGACAATTGGACAAGATGATCTTTAAGGTCCCTTCCAACCTAGAAGATTCTGTGATTCTGTGAGAATGGGAGTGCTCGCCCTGTTGGGCAAAACAGCTCGGAAAGTGGCTCTGTAGATACAGCTGTGGGCATGTGAATAAAGGCTGCTGCTCCTTCTGCTTCTAGCATACATTGCATCCTGATCAGTCACCGGTGCCCCGTGTGAGGATCGTCTTTTTTTGGCGACACACCACCCGACGGGTGAGTTTACCATTTTTTATTTCGTGGCCACAATCCCTTGTAAAAAGGAACAGTAACGCCTGTTGAACAGGAAAGTGACGGGGTGGTTGTTAGAAATGGGACAGACTGTGTGGCATGAACATAAATTATACTTAAAGGTTTCGCAACAAACTTTGCGCACTGCTGGCTATAATGAGCCATATAGTGAGGAGGAATTGTCTGGTAAAGGAACATTGCAATTGGTTTCCATCTGAGGGTACCTTTGATAGCTCACAATGGGAAAAAGTAGGAGAGCGTTTACAAAACAGGAAAGAGCTGGGTTTGATATCCCGGAGTCGGCACTAGTAACCTGGCGTTTTTTATATTTGGCACTAGCTCAGTTAAAACCTAGTGAGGCTGTTGTAACTAAAGATACTGAAGGCAAAAATGTTTATAAGGACATTGAGACTTCCTCAAGTGATCAAATTCCCGATAATCCCTTCAGTCCTGGTCCAGTTGACCCAGAAACTGAACTGAACTCGTATCTGCCATTACCCCTCCCTCCCCAACAACTGAAAATGCTGTTGTCAGGAAAGAGGCCTTTGCCAATCACCCCCACAGCACCTACAAACCCCTTTGTGGAAACAGAACCTGAAAAGCTTCCAGCCATACAAAAGTGCAAGGAAGAAGCTTTTAAAAATGGGGATTTTTCTTTTGCATTTCCAGTCATATATAAAGCAAATCGCCCTCCCACTCGGGATTACCTTACCAAGTTTTCAAGGAACTTAAAAAATCTAAACACGAAAATGTGCTGCAGAGTACCTTTGCAGTAGGCATTTTGGAAGCAGTAGGAAACGCTTATGTTATGTTACCATGGGATTGGAAAGTGTTAATGAAAACTGTTCTTACTGCCGCTCAGTATGCGGTATGGTAAATGGAATACAGTGATTTGGTGGTTGAACAGGTAATGGGTAATCTGAGTAATGGCATACCTATTCGTCAGGATGTGTTGACGGGGACCAGGAATTATTTGGCTCTGCAAGCCCAGGTGGGCTTAGATAGACGGATGTTTGAGCAAGCATCACGACTAGCAGTGACTGCATGGCGGCGAGTTCCTGGGGCTGGCCAAAAAATAGGGTCCTTTGCATCTATAAGGCCAGGCCCCCAGGAACCCTATGTTACCTTTATAGGTAGGTTGCAGGGAGCTATTACTAGACAAGTGGAGAAAGTCTTGCTTTTTCGATTAGTACCTTTACAGGTACTAAATAGTGACTGTCGGACGGTGTTATTGCCAATAGAAGGACACATCGACCCTCAGTTTTAGCTGCAGCTCTATCTCAAGTGCACAGAAACAAAACTCCTTTGAAATGTTCCAGTTGTAGCAAACCGGGACACATTACATTAGTAAAGACTGCCTGGAAAAGCAGCGTGCTGTAAGAACAAAGAAACCTAGTCAGGTGTGTCCCCGATGTCGGACGGGTTTTTATTGGAGCAATCAGTGTAAATCCAAGTTGGATAAAGTTGGGCAGCCGTTGTTGGGAAATGGGAAGAGGGGCGTCGTGCGGCCCAGCGCCCCTTAAATGAACAGGGCCTGGAACCCCCCTCAAATGAACCTGGAACCCCCCTCAAACGAACAGAGTGTGGTGTGCTCCAGCACAGCAAATGTCTCTGACCTCATCGCTGCAACAGCAGGGAGTGCCAGATTGGATGTGGTGACTTCCACAGAAATACTAGCTTTAGATTCACATAGGGTCCATACGGTAGGGACTAATGTATGGGGTTCATTACCGCAAGGTCTAATGGGATTAATTATTGGATGATCAAGTGTTTCAAAACAAGGCTTTGTGATTTTGCCTGGGGTCACTGACTCAGATTATACGGGGGAAATTCAGATTATGCTTACGGTGCTGCGACCGTTATGCAGAGTGTTGGCTCATCAAAAAATTGCACAATTGGTATGGTTCCCCTTTTGGGTCCCAGCTAGCGAATCGCGACCAAGACGGCCAGGTCGATTTGGAAGCGCAGACATTGCAAATATCACGTGGACAAAGAAAATTAGAGCCAAGCAACCCATATTAACATTAAAAAATTGAAGGAAAGCCTTTTTCAGGGTTGGTTGATAGTGGAGCTGATGTATATGTTATATCTGAAAAGGAGTGGCCTTCTCAGTGGCCGCTACGTGGTGCCAGAACTGCTGTAACAGGTATTTCGCTGGTCTGAAACCCCTGCTCAGACTCACCTGGCTCACAGATAAACCTGTTTGGGTTGATCAGCGGCCCCTGGAAGGGGAAAAGCTCACTCAGGCCTGACAATTAGTAAATCAGCAACTGCAGGCGGGTCATATTGTGTGTTCTAATAGTCCCTGGAACACACCTATTTTTGTCATAGCTAAAAAAATCAGGGAGATGGCGCTTGTTGCGTGATTTACGTGCCATCTGTGCTGTTATGCGACCTATGGGGGCACTGCAACCAGGAACCCCTGATCCAGCGATGTTACCTGCTGAACAGCATCTTCTTATCATTGATCTTAAGGATTGTTTCTTTATAATTTATTTACACCCCGCAGATTGTGAACATTTTGCCCTTTCGGCGCCAACCATTAATAACTGCAAGCCCATGGAAAGGTATCACTGGACAGTTTTACCTCAGGGGATGATGAATAGTCCTACAATTTGTCAAACTGTAGTGGCTACTGCCCTTAAATCTACCAGAGCTAACTTCCCGCAAAGTTTGATTTATCATTACATGGACAATATTCTTGTATGCGCACAGGAGAAAACATATCTTGATAAAACATTGAATTATATGCTTCCTTCACTGGAGGCATATGGTTTACAGATTGCTAAGGAGAAAATCCAGACAATGCCACCTTGGAAATATCTTGGTTGGGTGTTGTTGGAAAGGCACATTAAGCCTCAACCATTGAAAATATAATGGAAAATAGGTACCCTGCATGAATTACAAAAATTGCTAGGACCAGTTAATTGGGTCAGACCAATGCTAGGCATAACTAATTATGATTTACAAAATTTATTTGCAGCTTTAAAGGCTGATGGTCTTAACTCTAGATGAGAACTGTCTGAAGAAGCGCTGAAAGAATTAGAAGTAATAGCACAAAAGATTTCTACACTTCAGGCAGATCGTATATGTATGGAATTACCAGTGTCTCTTCTAATACTTAATACACTTCATCAAATAGTCGGATTAATTAGACAGATTGAG